GAGGAAAAAAAAAAGGTGGGAGAGCAGTTGAGTATTTTTTCAGTTAATAGAAATAGGCCTTTGGGGTTCAGAAATTGTGTAGTATAATATTATGTTAGGACAGCTCCATTTTACAGCAAAATTGGTTCCATGATGGCAAGCCACTAAGACATTTTAAAGCATTTTTTTTTCCTTTGTAGCTTTCCTTCTCTCAGAAAATTGGTTCCCTGCAGCAAAAATGACAAATCATCTACTTATCAAGAATAAGTACTCTTACAAGTTTTTAGCCTTGGACTCAACTCACACATTTGTAGCAATCTAATTCTGCTATAAGAACAAAGGCCAGTGAAAACAAAACCATAGATTTCGCCCCAAATTGCATTTTAGGGCCACAACGACAAACAGGCCAGCAAAGGTTTATGGGTCTGAACCAGTGACATAGAACTAAAACCTATATATTTTCTCCCTTTATGTTAATTTGACCAGTAGATGGCAGTGACAGAGCAAAAACAACCACTGTTTACGTCATACCAAGCCAGTGCATAGGAAGACAAGTTCATTATATCCCCACAGTGACACAGAAAATAGTTGTCCCAGTTATTTGCACTTCATCCCATTTTGCAAAAGGCAGAACTAATGAAATTCTACTCTTCCCTGCTCCTGCTTGGTGAAGAATGCTTGTACAGCGGGGAATACTAAAAGTCTGTTCCCTGGAGACACACGAATGCAGCTGCTGTGTCTGATGCACACTGGAATTCACCTAGCTGGAAAATGTTGTTCTCAAACAAAAAATAAATAAAGAGGTTATTTATTGTCTTATATCCTCTTGTATATGTCGCTCACGGTGCGAAAGGTCAATACTGGGACTTTGTCGAGAGAGAATATCTATATGCTAATAGTGCCCATTATGCATCCAGGTGTTGTAAAGTATAGCAGAACCATGCAGACCATCTCCTGTGGCCCACTCTCAACTCTGACTGACATAATATATGTGGACAGAATGGATTTCTGCCCTGTTAATAGACTTACGGAGCAGTGCATTGTGTGCTGCTCCATTAAACCGAAATCTGTGTTTAATCTGCAGCAATTATCATTTCGTGATGAACACAGGAAATGCAGTTTTGATTAATTCAGTGTTATGAAACAAGTATTTCTGACTGCGGGTGTATTGATTTGCGAAGAGACAATTCCACACACACTTCACAACAACACAGCTGCGATGCATATTTCTGGAACTGTGCGATGCTATAGGAAGCTGTGATTCCAGCTGGCACAGTAAACAAATTTAGTGTCCTCTGTTTTTTTGGCATTTTCAAAATTACAGTAATTAGCCTAAGAAGAGCACTTTTGAGCAGTTTGTTAATTTATACTGTATGGGACAATATATCACACATCAGACTTCTTTTTTCTTCTTAAATCTAAGAAGGGGTTCAGTTCCTCAGCATTCTGAAACAGCTTTAAAGGGAGACAGACAATGACAGGACGAAACAATGTGGTAGATCTGTTTGGGGTGCCTGAGCTAATTACATGTTTGTTATTTTTTTCAAATGAAAATAAGTAAATACACGCAATATAACCTGGAATTTTTAGGCTTGCATGCAGACTTTCTTTGATTTCAGAGTCGCGGGTACTGTGACAGCCATTCTTGATGTAGTTCACGGCGGATTTTGAGGTCTTACTTTGGGTCTTCATCCTGTTAGAGACACTATTCTCTTTCAGTTCCAGTTTCTACACTGACTGGTGAAATTTGCATTGAGGATTTACTGATATTTAGTGAAATTTGTTCTTTCCTCCATCTGCAACATTTCCTGTGCAGCTGGCTGCCAAACAGACACAAAGCAGAATATTTCCACCCCCATGCTCAACAGTTGGCAGGGTGTTCTTTTTATCAACTTTTTTTCTTTTTTTTCCCCCTCCCAGCATACGTTTGGTGATTGTGGCCAAAGTGCTCAATTTTAACTCATATGTCCACAACATTTGTTCCCAAATTGACTCTGACTTATCCAGATGTTGCTTTGCATAAGCTGACTTTTTTTTTTTTTTTCATGATTTCACAGGTAAGGTTTCCCTCTGATGACTCTTCCACAAAGAGCCTATTTGTGCAGCAAGGCTGCAAAATTTGCTTTTGACTTATCTAAAAGTTTGCTCGATCATCCAGATCTCTCTTAACTGCTATTTCGTAGTGGTATTTTAGACAGATGGAATTTCAGATGTGGAGTGCTTGGATGTGTTTTTATAGCTTTTCCCTGCTTTGTCGTAACAGCACATTAACATTCAATGAAAGTCTTTTTTACACGTCTGAAGTGGTTATGTGTACTTCTTTTTACTTCAAAAATCAACAAAGTCTGTAATTTTTCCAAGAGTGCCCAACTTTTGTGCATTGTAAAGCCCCTAAAGAAGCCTTTTCTGTTGTTTTTAATTAGTTTTTAATTGGTATATTTGTTCAAATGCACCAAATATGTTATTTTTGGAAAGCTGCTCCTGGCACAGATTGAAAATGGAAAACATGTTTTTGTCTAATTTAATTCTTTTTTTTGTTGTTGTTATAAATGGCAAACCATTGTTAACAGTAAAGACATTTTCAGCTAAAATGCAGCAGCATTGATTTTTTAATGATTCTACACAGATTCTAAACTAAAGTTTTCAAGCCACTATATCTTCTGACACAATACTTTTGTGTGGCCGCATCCATCTTACTTAACGGCCACGAAGCTGTCTCGTAGCTATCAAGATAGCTTAGAAGCCCTTTGATTAAATGAAAAGACCGAGGTTAACGGGACATCTGTTAGGAAATCTGGGCAAAGATTACCCAGCCTCATCTCACACAGACTCAGAGCAGCAAATGATGTAATTAAGACCAAAGTAATACTGCTTCTTGGCCTTGGCCTTTTGCCTTATTCAACCTTTATAGCAGGTTTTTTTTTGCTGTTTTTTTTTTTTTTTTGTTAGTTTGTTTTTTGTTTTTCTTCTGGCCTCTAGATTTAAACATGATGTCACATTTTAGAATCCACAAAAAACAAGGAAACATAGAAAGATTAGTTGGAATAATACCCATAAAAAATTGCAGTTGTTGGCTCCAGTTTTGTTTTTTTGTTGTTTTTTTTAAGAAAAGGAATACATTTGGATTTTTCACACTCTATGACTTTTTATTCTTAAGAAGTTGAATCAACAATCATGTAAAAAAACTTCAGAAGAAGAAACTAGTATATGGCATGAGAGGTCACATGCCATGATTCACATATAAGTGATATAATAATAATATCCATGTCAGTGTTCTGTATTTTAACTGATTCTGGATCAGAAAACATTAATTTTTACCAGTTTTTCGATGTCCTCCAGCATGCTGCTTGTGATACTGAGATAAGTCTAGAGTTCAGAAGTTGATACTGAGTCAGTGGGTGACGGGTGGGAACAAACAGACACAGAGGTCACAGTATCCGGTTGACAGACCTGTAGCATCACTGACCGTTGTGTTCACCTCCTTGTAATGTAACTGCTAGAGAGTAAATAATGTAAAGCCTGTAGCATATGTCTTTGGTTGTTGGTTTGAAATTCCTCTCATGCTACTGATCCTCAAATCTTAGTTTTGCCTTGATTGAATTAATAGAGAGGCAGCATTTATTTAACAAAACTAGAACAATATAGAACATAAAATAGATTTCTTAAAGCTCAGTACTTACTAGAATAACATATTTCTTGTGCCATCTAAGGTAACTACACCTCAGACCTTCTGCACCTGAAGGCAGCTCTCAAATGACTCTCATTTCCCTGATCTGCTGCTTTCCCACGCTCTAAAGCCTCTCAGCCTCACATGCCTTCCTTCTGTGTTTACAGAAATATTTCTTATCTCAGTGCAAAACTCTGGATACAGGATGCAAGATGGATTTGTAGATGATCCATTTTAATATACTGCTAACTCCGTCGCAGGAATATACAGGACTGTGTGATATGTAAGTATGCGATAAAATAACAAGATTCTTTTTCTTCGCCTTTTTTCTCACAAAATAAAAAAAGAGTCGTATTATTGGGTTTTGTGAGCCATCAGAACCTTATGACGAGGAATGACGGCAAAAGCCTGACACAGTATGAAACAAAATGAGTGTGTGTGACTGTCTCAATCCGTCCTTTTCGAGAGAACTTCAATCACTCAATTTCTCTGAGCAGTATGCTTCCAATCCCAGCAAACAGCTGGCCTGGCATTTAGAACACATGAGGATTAGGGGGTTGATTTAGTTAAAGGCTCAATCCAGAGTCAGACCATAGCACCACTTATGATGCGAAGATCGCATCTCTGCTGGCTTTGTTTATAATATTTTCATACCTTTTTTTTTCACTGATCTCATGCATTTACAGTACATTTGAGGAAGTCACATATAGTGATTTTACAATTTGGTTATGGTTGCAATAACAGTAAAATATCTAGAATATTTCTGTCTATTGATGCAATTAGAAAATCAAATGGTCAGCATTTTGGACTGCTAAGAAACATTTTACATCATCAGTACATCATTACACATTTGCTTCAATTTATTCTGTGCATCTTTTATTTATATATATATCTGTGGTGCTTTTTTAACTACAGCTGGATTAAAATAATCTCTAGGCTGTGGATATTTTACATCTTGCTTAGTCTCCCATGTCATTATAAGCTCAGCTGGTGATCATATGCTTTCACTCTGCCACATGAACACAAGGTATGCAGCTGCTTGTGACAAAATGGGTGTGTGTGGAACGTGCAGGTGTGTGTGGATGTGCTTTGATAGCGTGCTTGAAAAAGGAATCTGTGAACTCAAGTAGATTTCCTATTGGCCATCGCCTCTCATTGGTGAGCATGAAGGATTGATTTGCATATGGTGGGAGTGTCCTGAGCCAGCACTGGGATGAATGACTTGTTCAAGTCAGATAGAAATAAGGCATAGCACTTAGAAGAGGTCTGCACAGCTCAACGCTGAAAATGCCTGGGTTACTTCAGCTGCCACTCTTCCTCCTATAAGTGGAAAGTGCTGGATTAGGACATAAACATGTTCAACAGCAGACACCAGAGCCTTAGCAAAAGAGGAAGAATATGGGTAAGTTTTATGATAATTTGCTTTACAAAAAGAATTCACTATAAAACAGCTACAATTACATGTTCTGGGGTCTGTTTCATAAAGCAGTTTTAGTGAAAACTAAACCTGCTTTGTGAAACGGACCCATGGTGTTGTGAAGACTATATTTTTGAAGCAGATATATCACTAAGCCCCTCTTCCTTTACACTTAACTCTTTTTATTCTCATATATGTTTTTAAATTTGTGGGGAAAAAAATGCTGAAGCTCTTGTGAAATCTAATTTCATTGATTGATATAAACACCTCCTAAAACAATGATGGTAATGAGTATAAAGGGCCATGATTGTAGTTCAAATCGCTGTTGAAAAACTCTTTAACTGATAATGAAATGTAAATTTTCATACACAACAATTAATACATTAGGGATACCTTTTTTTGAAAGTCTTGCTTTATTTTGCAGCTCTTTTATTAAACTGTGTTATCTTTAATTATCTTGTATTACAGGGATTGTGCATCCTCTTGCTTTACACCACCCCCCTTTCCTGTTTTGCAAATTTCAGTCAAGCAAAAGAGCTCATCTATAAGATAAAGGAGGGATTACCCAGGGGGACCTTCATAGGGGCCATCGGAGTAGACTTAAATTTGGATTTCACTGTTGAGCCCCCATTTCTATTCAATCTCCCGCAAAAGAAGGTCAGCGAACAGTATGTGAACCTAAATAATACCACCGGGGAGCTTTACACATCTGCTACAGAGATTGACAGGGAGACCTTGTGTCCCGATAACTCGGAGGGGCAGGGATGTGTCCTCTCACTGGATGTGTTTGTGTTGCCTCAGCAGTACTTTCAGCTTGTCAAAGTTAAGATCTTTATTGAGGATGTGAATGACAACAGGCCAAAGTTCCCTGTGGATGAGATCTGTATGTCCGTCCCAGAAAACGCACCAGTCAACGCTCGTTATGCAGTGGAGCAGTCTGCAGTTGACCCAGACCTGGGTCCTCACGGAGTGCAGACCTACTGGCTGGTTAATGACTTCAGCGTGTTCACACTGGATGTTGAGGAGAATGAGGGAGGCGAGCTGACACCCTTCCTCATCGTGACAGAGACCTTGGACAGAGAGACACAGGCTGAATACATAACAGATATTATTGCAGAGGATGGAGGGATCCCTCCTCTACTCGGTGCGGCTACTTTAAAAATTGTCATCACAGATGTGAACGATAACTGCCCTCAATTCACAGAGTCACAAATTAATGTTACTCTGCATGGGAATACCACTAAAGGGGCACATTTGGCACGTCTGCATGCTTTTGACCCTGACCTTGGTGCTAATGCTCAGATCAGCTATGCTTACAGTGAACGTGTGCCAAGGGACACCAGGAGCTTGTTCCATTTGGACAGAATCACAGGGGTGATCAAGCTAGCAGGGAAAATAGACACTGGCACGGCCACATTTTACAAACTCACTGTTCTGGCAAATGGACCTGGCTGTATTCCTGCTGTTGCCATTGTTACCGTCCATATCATCAAAGTTGTGACTGGGCCCCCTGCAGTCATACCCCGGTACATTGCACCAGAAAAGGATGGGGTGGTAACAATAAAGGAGTCCGAGTCAGCTTTTTCTCCAATTGCTTTTTTTACTGTTAAAAACATTGATATAAACCAAAGGGTGGACTGTCATTTGGAGGGGCTTGGTCCCTTTAGGCTTGTCCCCTATCAGCTGTTCAAGAATGAGTTCTTGCTGGAGACGACAGAGTCCTTGGACTATGAGAAGACTCAGGAGTATGAACTAATTGTGGTTGCTAAGAATACAAAAGGGCTCGTCATCAAGACTTTTCTTAAGGTGCAGATTTTGGACGAGAATGATAACGCACCTGTGTTTCAGCAGTCTCTGGTGGAAATATCAGTTGAGGAAAACAATCCACCAAACACCTTTCTAACCCAGCTCCAAGCCTCAGACCAGGACAGCGAAGGCCGAGGGGAAGTTATCTACCTCCTTGGAGGTGACGCCCCCGGGATCTTCGTTGTGGATCGTGTGACAGGTGTCCTGACTGTGGCCACATCGCTGGACCGTGAGGAGAAAGAAACGTATCGCTTCATAGTGAGAGCAGTGGATCAGGGGACGCCCAGAAGGGAGTCGATCGCAACAGTGGTGGTGACTGTGCAAGACCGCAATGACAACAGTCCACGTTTCATCAATAAGGACTTCACTTTCTTTGTGCCTGAGAACTTCCCGGGGTATGGTGAGATCGGCGTTCTTTCTGTGACGGATGCTGACGCTGGAGAAAATGGCTGGGTGGCCCTCTCCATCCTCAATGGCAGCGACATCTTTATGATAGACACTGGTCGAGGGGCGCTGAGGGCCAAGACATCACTGGACCGTGAGCAACAAGGAACATACCAGTTATGGATTGAGGCTGTTGATGGGGGGGAACCTGCACTTTCCTCTGTTACAATGGTGACTGTGCTGTTGTTGGATGTAAATGACAACCCACCAATTGTCCTTTTCCCACAGTCCAATCAGTCTTACCTGCTTGTCCTACCCAGCACTGTACCCGGGACATCAATCACAGAGGTGTATGCCGTGGATAAAGATACAGGCATGAACGCTGTGATCGCCTATAGTATCATTAAAAGGAAAGGTGGTGAGCCAGGGTCCTTTGCCATTGACCCAGAAACAGGAAATATCACGTTAAAGCGGGAGCTCAGCAACCGAGGACTCTACAGCCTTCTGGTGAAGGTCAGTGATCACGGTCAACCTGAACCACTTTACTCGACGGTCATGGTTAACTTCTTTGTCAATGAAACAGTGAGTAACGAGAGTTACATCCAAAGTCTGCTGACCAGAGAGGCTGACATAGAGGTAGAGGAGAGGCCCTGGTACATTGGCCAGATGGCAGAGGGACCTGAGAGGTACGATCTGTTCCCCTGTCAGCCTGTCCTCATTGCTCTTTCAGTGACATGTCTGGGGTTATTTTTCTTGGTTGTCATGCTGACATCTTACATATGCTGTAAGAGGTTTAAAAAGAACAGGAAAAAAAGATCAGAGGTAGAGATACCTTTGAAAATGAAAAACGACTCAATGCAGGTTGTGAACAGGAAGCTCAGGCAGATCTCAAACATCTGATATTCAGTTGTCCACACATCCAAAATCCACCACTGTTTACATGAATGTTTACAAAACTCACTGTAAGAAGTGTAGCTCTGACATGAACTTGCTCTTATGGCTTTTGTTGTATCATTGTTATTACTGGAATATACCTGTATTGTAATTTAACTTATATGCCACAAGTTTCTGTCGTCAAAAAAGGTACAGCAACTGAATCACTAGTTTACTTTTTATATCTGTGAAGCACGACAACTCATTCAGATGTGATGTTTCCGCAAACGATGGGCATCAAAGTAATAACACAATATTACAAAGCCATGAGAGCAGCTCATTGAAGATTACTAAGGTTCTATGTAAATATTGTACAAAATGTTTTACAACTTTATATGAAACTTTTGCATTGGCATGAAAAGGACACATGGAGGCACAAGAAATGCTTCTTTATTCAACTCTCTGCTTTGGAAAAATCCCATCTCTTTTCACCCCCTGTCTATACTTGGAAGTTAGAAATCTAAATATATTTATTTTTAAATAAAATGTTCAGCTTTATTCATAAAGTAATCATACATGTCTAAATTGATTGATACAGAAAAGGCTAAATAAACTGTATTAGATCTGCTAACACACTATGCATAAATGTTCTGACAAGGCTTTCTGTTAAATGTCAACCATGGAAATTTCTAAAAACAGACCAAAAAAGAAAACTGTCTTTCCAAAGCTTTCAGCTGTGTTTCACTGTGTGTATATGCATATAATTATATAAATATACATACTGTGAGATGAGGTTGAAAGCTCTAGGAAAAGGTAGTAAGTACATCTTGAGGTATTTATCTTTTGGCAAAAGTCTGTATGATGTCTGACAGCTGTCTGAATAGCTACTGTAGGCCTTCCAGATGCCCTTTAAACGTCATGTCAGAACAGTAAAGAGTCACATATGTTCATCACACGAAACAATTGGAAGTGTGTCCAGACTTGTCATTGAACTGCTTTAAGTCACATACATTATTCTCCTTTATAGAACCATGCAAATCTCAATGTGTCTGTGAAAACATGGAAGTGTTTGTGAAAGAAAATCAAAGTAACTATTAAAGATAATTTATTTTTGTAATACATTGGATGTTTTTCTGTATTCATATCACATGTTTGCATCAAATGCGTGTGTGTGTGTGTGTGTGTGTGTGTTTGAATCTTTTTGTCTTATTTCTTACGGTTTAAAGGAAAACCATATTCGTAACAGGCAGCTGTTAAATGTTATTTATTGATCTTGTGATGTTTACGTTTTATTTGTTTATGTGTGCATATTGATTATGCACAGCAGGGGGACAAAAAGCCTATACTACGCATAATGCAGATTTTCAATTTATGTCTCAACAGTTGAGTAAGTAGACACCCCTTGGAAGGGAAGGATAAAATGAACAGTGATTGGGCGATAATATGTGGAAAACATTTGAACCTTTTAAGCATTTATTAATTAATTTATTGTAACTGAAATTTGCATCGTCTTCAGACAAGATTTAATCTGCTATGCAAATTAACAGCTGTACTGACACAGTCTTGCAAGATGCAAGAGACATGAAACAGTTAAAGATCAAACGCCTGAGATCCTGTGTTGTTGTTGTCATCACCTTCATAGGTCAGAGCCGGTGAGGTAACACCCGGAGTCACACTTAGAAGGAAAAACAGTCCACTGTGTTTACACTTGTCTGAAAAGTTTGAGGATCAGATCAACATTTCTCACCTTTCAGGAGTGGTTTTGACAATCACTGCACTACTAGTAATATCACCCAGGAAATTGTCAAAGTGTTTCTGGCATGTTCTCTTCCCACAGATGAATGCGTTCCACCTAACAAAGCTGCTGTTTCTCTGCCCCTATGCTTGTTTGTATATTTGCTATGAAAGTTGTGTAGACAGAAAAGCTTTACGACTCATATTCCTGTTGACTGTGCACACTCCCAAGTGAGGAACTCATTATGGTATTATGCCCCGCCTTTAAAACCTGTTTAGGTTTGGCTCCTACCAAACAACAAACCTGCAAATGAATGTATGCTGAGAATGCATTCACACATGTGGCTTCTCAAGTTATCGCCAGCCTTTTGTAGGGCGGAAGCACGTCATGTAAGCACAGAGCACATCAGGAGCTAGAAACAGCTCAGTGTAATCCTCAGTAATCACCTCTGGCCAAACTGTGCATTACACAAATAGGGTGAAAGATGATATACATGGACATACTGGATGTGCACACAGTAATGCCTTTCAAGACAGGTAAAAATGTAGGTGTTGTAACAATAGCAAAATAATTCAGAATACATTACATAAAAGGAAATTGCATTTAGTTTGCCTCGTGTGCTAGAACAAATGTTGCTGGACTGTGTTGTTGAAGACCAGATGGCAATGTAACATGGTTATCATCTTAAACAGGTTAGAAAGGCCTATTATTATCCAGCAAAGCTATTTAAAATCAATAGAACAAACCGCATAAGCTGCTTCATACCTTCAATGTGTTTGTTTTTGTATGGAAAAAAAAGAGAGGAGTGGGATCATGTTCCCAGTATGGATCCACAAATCTACTAAGAAAAGTATCCTCTGTGTGAGCATTTCTATTTACTATATTAATCATAATCTTACAAACTTTAAATGTGCTTTGTTCCAGATAAGCTGGTCAAGATGTCCACATGTCCTTATGTAGAAGCATAATTCATACTTATATCTGATGATTTTTTATTCTTTTTTTCATTTTGCTCTCTAATGGTTTCACTGTGCAGATCAACTATTGACTATGGGAATCATTTGAAAGACTGCACACCCTTAGCAAGCCAGGTGTGATATCATAATCAATTCTCTGCATTTATCAAGCAGAATCAATACCCAGACAATGCCTTGGAGATGCATTACATATCTGCTTTCAGTAACAGAGTCTGCCGCTTGGCCGCTTGTTGTCTGCGGCCAAGTGACACAGAATTTAAGATGGTGTCTGCGTAATTTTACATTTGTTTTTTACACTGTGCAAACAATTACAGCCTATGATTAATTGCAGTAATAACAACGGAGGTCTTATTTCACTGTGTCTCATTTCTCTTTCACCCACGCCAACTCTTGCAATTAGTCATTTTTCCTCAGCATCTTGGGACAGGAAACAGTCATACAAGCCCTTCAGGCCAATTATGGCTCAAACCCAGCTGTTATGATGATAAAGTATGCTCCTGTGTGCAATAACAAACAGTGGTCCTGGTTAATAAATGGCAAGGTTTGATGGTGACATTGCATATTTGTGCTTTTATTTAGAAAAAAAAAAATGTTTAGCCACTTTTCTTGATTTTGCTAGTTACAAATTTTGTAATTGTTGTTATCATTACAGTTTGTGTATTTTGACAAAATGACATGAATTTTATTGTTTTCTGTGATAGTGTGGTCTAAAGCAAAACCACAAATGATCAAGAGGCAACACTTTATAGTATGACTTGGAGAAAGTCTTCAGCCTCCTGGCTGCTCAGGGATAAGCTACTTAAGCTCAATTTCAGCATTTTCATGCAGACTTGCTTATAACGACAATGTGAACATCTTGGTGCATAGCCGTTACATTCACCGTGTTCACCAAATTTTAGACAAAACAATTAGAATGGCAAGAGCAAATCTGGGGAGGTCAGTACAATCTGTTATGAGGAGGACTTAGTGTTCCAAAATCCATGACAATTTATCCAATAGCTGTCAAGATACCGCTTTAAAAAACCACCACTGTCAACCTCCTGGTGGTATTACATACACATTTAGAAGATCACCAAAGTTACTAGTTCACAAAGTTTGGGAATCATTTACCAAACTTTGTGCCCATCCCTCAAATAAATGTCAACATATTTTAGTGGAAAAGTGAAAACTTTAACATAATGGGATGATGGGTGATAACCACAGTTGCTGAAATTCCTCTTAACCACATTGCCCTTTTTTTTTTTTTTTGATAAGCCATAGTGCTGGTGAATGTTGCAAAATCCAGATTTGGCTGCAATGTACAAATCTGTTGCCTGTGTCAGCAGCTCCATAGGAATTTGCTCTGCCGTCAGTATTACTGTACAGTATCAAATAGCAATGTGATCCATACATTCCTTCATCCGACATGATCCTCCAAAGGACCTTTAGCCTCTACTGTAATTGTTTTTAACCTTCAGGGGGGTTGTTTAGATATGTCCGTCTCATTATGTGAATCCTGCTCTGGACTGGAAACAGCTGGGAAGAGGGTCACCCAGACCGAGACACTTCACGGCTTTTCTACATGACTGATCACCTCCAGCAGTAATCCCACTGACAGCCAGAGCTCGGGCATCTTCTGACCAGGGGCAGAATGGACATTGGAGGGGTCACTTGGCTTAAGTCAGGGTTTTGAACTGTTTGTGACCCATGGAATTAGATGTCTGCTACATGCAGGTTATTTAAAGACATACTGAGGATTGAAGACTACAGTCACAGATTGGGGTGCATGTAGGTAAGTCAAGCTTCTTTCTAGTTTGTGCAGATATTTGCAGATATATTGACTACAGGAATTGCTCCATCCCTGTGATCGCTCCCTTTTTCTTGCTCCCTCCATCTCTCCATCTCTTCTCTCTCTCTCTCTCTCTCTCTCTCTCTCTCTCTCTCTCTCTCTAACCTCCACCCCCCCACCAGGAAAGTCTATCTGAAATTACATTAAATTCTTAATGGTGTAGACAGCAAGTAATTACCATCAGTCACAGCCCGATCCCATTTCCAGATTGGCTTTATTGTAATGTCCCTGCCTTGAAATCAAACAAATAAAGACACAATGAGAGGCCCAGGTTAGGTTACACAGGACTGCTGAATAGAGGAGGCTACATTTCCCAAGTTATGACATCAAATACGACCCGCCAGCTCACACACACACACACACACACACATGCTCGCTCGCACCCACACACACACCTTGTTCAATCTTCAATAATGCATCTCCATATTCTCCCCCCTGAAAATCACAGCCTTTGATCTAAAACATCTTTCATTTGCTGTGATGCAACAAAATAGAATCCAATCGCACTCTTTTGATCCTGCTGTGGATTACGTTACTAATTTCCTTTATTCCTCCGTCCCTATTTCTCTCTCAGTTTCATCCAGTTTCATCCCAGCAAAAACACAGAGGGGCTTCCAGGGAATTAACTGAGGCAATTTATTTCTGAGCAATTTTTTTTCTATTTTTTTTTTCCCACAACCACTAACAATTTAATACCATCCTGTCATGCCACTGTACGTATTCCCCACTGTGACCCTTAAGCAGTTCATTTGGATGATGTTGTTCCTGTTCCCATGGCAAAAAAAAAAAAAAGATACTGCATTTTGTAATGTTTTCAACATTTATTTAATTCTTCATGGAATAAGAGCTTGAACCACTCTTTACAGTACCACCTTTTTTTTCTTTTTAAATCGATTTTGTACCAGTGATGCATTGTTACATTCGGTCTTCTTTTTGGATACTTTAATGAGAATCATGAAGATACTTGTTGAAAATTTTATAACTTCTATAGAACTTTTTTTTTTTTTTTTAACGAATATATTGCTTGTAAATAACAGCTTTAATGTTACTCTAGATCCCATATCTTACCATTTTCTATCACGTTTAATTCAAAGCTGCACTCAGCATGCTCTGTTGGATGCTTTCTTGTTTGTTACTGTGTTAAAATGTTCTGTTTTCACATACATGGAATGCAGCAAATATGGCCTCTTCCTTCTGCTTATGGTGTGTAATAGAGGGGTCATTGACCTAATTGTCTGGTTAGTGCTGAAAATGACAATTTGAACTATTCCAGGACAAACCTGTGTTGTTTGGAGTCATCTTTCCAGCAAGCTTTACCGCATGATTCACCTACATTGTTGGTGTTATGGAGACCTCATAACAAGTGAGTTTTAACAAATTCTTTTCAAATTAGTGGTATGATACTCACACATTATACTGACACAGTTTAATAATTTTGGTATATATGCATGTTTGTTGTTGGAAATACTTGACACAATTCAATAGAAACCTTATCCTATAACAAATGGGGTTTAGGCCATGCACTAGTCTGAGTTTTACACAAAATGATAAGTGCTTTCTTTT